GGCGGACCCACGGGCGGTGGCAGCTCGCTCGCCAACCTACTACCAACACTTGAGAAAAATTGATTAAACGAGTTCACACGCATAGCTTTAAGTTTTAAACTAGAACGGGCTTTGGCGCACTGGGTTGGTAAGATTAATGAAAATAACACGACATTTTGGCTGTAAAATATGGTACAAATAGAAAATACCTTGTAAGCAGCACCTGTCATGACAGTATATTTCCTTTTAAACTAAATCGCATAATCCTTTATAAGATACGTTGATTAACAATATGTAAACGTATATATATTTGTAACAGACAATTTACAGTATTTTTGCTTTTTGGAAATGTCCCATTGCTATGTCATTTGCATTTTTTGTTGCCAATGAAGCCGCAAGACCATATGAACTAGGAGACCCCTAACAGTTCAATAATAAAAGCCAACTTCACTTCAAGCATTCCACTACACCTAACATTCCGTAGAGAGATTATATTGAAAACTTTATGTTATCGATAAGGCTGAGACAACTAACTGACATCCCCCATGTCAAGTCAAGGAATTCCAGCTTTAACAGTAACCCCACAATCAATTTCTCAAAACTATGCTAGAGGGTTCATTCATTGGCACAGAAGTACGATATGAACTGACGCGACGTGACGAAGGAAAAATTAAACTTACACTGTAACGGATATACCTCCCTTTGAAGTTAGAATATGTCTTCCCAAAAAATATTTTCTTTTGGAATAAAATCATATTACACTGATGTAATCACGGACGTGTTTAACTATAAAAGATCCACCAATACAATTTTAATACGATTTAAAGGTTCTTCCAAAGGAAGAGATAGGTACCATATAACATAGTAATAATAACAGCGATGAGGTACGGTATGGGGATTATTTTATTCATTGAATGATCAACCAAATTTGGAAACTAACTCAATTAATATCATTATTGTTTTTACACCTATTACTCTTTAAACAATGCTAAATGCCAAAATGTGTATATTTCACCCAATTTATCGCAGTTAGATGAATTAACGTAAGCCTTGAAAGTAACCGTCGATTTCGACGGGTTTCACTTAGTATTCTTCATAAGAATAACATGGGAATTTTAAATTAAAAATTTTTTGAATTTTCTTCATAACCATTCACTGAACTCATTCAAGTTTATCCCGTTTTACACCTTCAAACCAAATTTTATCAAAATCCGACAAAAATTACTCAAGTTATCGTCCGGACAAACATATATATATATATATATACAGGGTGGTAAAAAAGTCCCTGGACAGTTAAATATTTTAAAAAATAATGCAGATAGAGCTACAATACTTGGTACAAAGTTACAGGGCATAAAACTCTATTTTAACACATATTCAGTGATCCAATAACTCTTCAGGGGGACGGCCCATAAGGAGTCGGAAGAAAATCTTAAATGGAAGCATAGGTCAATATGCACATCAAATTAAAGGTCTTTTTTAGTAGAATACAATGCCGCAAACCGCACTTCAAAAGGTTGATCCTGCGCAAAATGGCAGATGTTCAAAGATTTCTTGAATCCGCCATTTTGAATCTTTGAACGACTGCCATTTTTTACTCAGGCATTCTTTTGAGCTTGAATTTACGGCATCGTAATCTACTAGTGAAGACCTTTAATTTGATGTGCGTGCATATCGACCTATGCTTACGTTAAAAATTTTCTTCCGATTCCTAGGGCTGTGCCCCCCGAGGATAAAGCGTATAATAGCTGTTGAGATAAAAAATGATTTACTCAGTCCTGTAGGCTCAACAGCTGTATAATGTAATTCTGATTATTATAATGTTAGTTTGTTTAAGTTGTTATGTAAACAAACTATTAGTCTATTAAATGGTTCTCTAACAGTTCTTACATTTCTTTTATCCTACTAATAAAATCAGTTTATTACAACAGGTTATGGTGGCCCAGACTCGCAAATAACTGTGTTTATTTATGGATTTGTTAGTAGGATATATGTGAAAGAACCTGTGATTGGTTGTTATTTGTCTTTTTGAAAAATCTTGTTCAGTTGTCTTCAAGTGTTTTGACTACCATGGAAATTTCTAAAGTTTATGTAATTGATAAATTGGAGGGTCAATCCAATTGGATAGATTGGAAATTTCAAGTAGTCATACAGTTTCGAGTTCATGGTATAATGGAAGCTGTTGAAGGAAAGCTTGTATACCCTGAGAAACCAGGTGAAGATGAAGATGCTTCAAAGATGGACAAATATCAGAAACAGGTTGCTGTACTTGAAAAGAAAGAATTTTCGGCACAGAATATCATTGTTTCATCTGTTAGCAGTCAAGTAAGACAGCTTATAAATATGTGTTCAACTGCACAGGAAATGTGGGGGAAACTTTTGAGTATTTTTGAACAGAGAACTGAACAGAGACAAGACCGTCTGTTTAATGAATTCTTTGGAATTAAGGAAAAGGACTCACATGACAGTGTAGCGAAACACATAGCAAAGCTGGAAAAACTTTGGGTTGAGCTACAGGACGAAACTTGGAAAGAAGATAAAGTTAAGCTTCCTGATTCATTATTCCAAAATAGGGTGTTGAATACGTTGCCCTGTGAATATAGTGAATTCATTAACGCTTGGGAGTCTGTACCGAAGGATCTGAGGTCACTGTCATTATTGAGAGAGAGACTGTGTACGGTTGAAATGAGAATGAAGGAGCGAGTAGTTGTAGGTGTAAAGGAGTCTAATGCTGGATTTTACACTGGTTCAAAACATAAAACTTTCTCACAACCTAACTCTAACCGTGTGAAATCAACATCAAGCATAATTACCGTCAGTGATGTTAGAGCTGAAAATAAGAAAAAGAAATGGAGACCTAAATGTTTTTCATGTAACCAGCTTGGTCACATGAAGAGGGATTGTCCGAATGTCAAACAGTCACTAAAACCTGGAAGTGCTTTTGTTGGATATTGTGGTCGCTCACAAGTATGTATCGAAGAATCTAATTGGATTGTAGATTCTGGAGCTACGCAGCACATGACAATGAACAGATCATGGTTTGTGACGTACGAGGCATTTTCAACAGTTAAGCATGTTGGAGTTGGAAATGGTCAAACCATGGAAGCACTCGGCAAGGGAAACATAATTGTAGAGATGATTGTGGGAGGAAAATGCCAGAGAAATCATTTGGAAGATGTTTGGTATGTTCCTGAAGTAGGCAAGAGCTTATTTTCTATTTCCTCTACGTTGGACAAAGGTATAATTTCTACTTTCAGCGAGGACAAATGTAATTTTTTCAAGAATGGTGTTTTGGTTGCTCAATCACATAGAAAGAATGGATTTTTCATTATGAATATGAAAGTTATTCCTATTAAAGATGCTGAAGCTCAAGTTGCTTTGAGAGATGATTTACAACTGTGGCATGAGAGATTAGGGCATCAAAATAAGCGTTATGTTTTGACCAACCTGAAGAAAAATGGTATTGAATTCTCAAATTCAGATACTAAGTCTGAGATATGTGACGCTTGTATTGTTGGCAAAATGCATCGGTTGAGTTTTGGTACTCGCAAAATACTTGTTAATCAACATGGTGATCGCATAAATGCTGATGTTTGTGGCTCAATGCCTGTGTTATCAGTTGGTGGCAATCGATATTTTGTTGACTTCAAGGAGCCTGTGGAACAAAACAAAAAGTTTCCTACAACTGAAACCAACTCTTCAACAACTGCAAGCTTACCTGACGAAGAAGGACAGAGGTATAGTTTCAGAGACAGATCAAAATTGAAGCCTCCTGTGAAACTTGCTGATTGTGCCCTTCTGACATGTGTTGCAGAACCTACTAAGTGCAAGGAAGCGGTGACATGCAAGGATTCTCATCATTGGGTCAAGGAGATGGATGAGGAAATAAAGGTGCTTAGTCCAGTGTTCTGGTGTAGTAAACATCAGAAATGTGTAGCTTTGTCAACTACAGAATTTGAGTTGATTACTGCAGATTGCTGCAAGTTTGGCTGTAGGGGAAGCAGTGTGGCTCAAGAGAATACTTCAAGATGTAAGGATACATGAGCAGCAGTTTTCTTTTCTGAGTAAAGTGTCATTTTTTAGGGGAAGTGTTGAGATAAAAAATGATTTACTCAGTCCTGTAGGCTCAACAGCTGTATAATGTAATTCTGATTATTATAATGTTAGTTTGTTTAAGTTGTTATGTAAACAAACTATTAGTCTATTAAATAGTTCTCTAACAGTTCTTACATTTCTTTTATCCTACTAATAAAATCAGTTTATTACAACAATAGCAATGTAAATTAAATGAATCTTTGAACAACTGTCATTTTGCGCAGGATCAACCTTTTGAAGTGCGGTTTGCAGCATTGTATTCTACTAAAAAAGACCTTTAATTTGATGTGCATATTGACCTATGCTTCCATTTAAGATTTTCTTCCGACTCCTTGTGGGCCGTCCCCCTGAAGAGTTATTGGATCACTGAATAACATCTTATCATCAATCTTATCAATATGGTCTTATCATCTTTAAAATAGAGTTTTATGCCCTGTAACTTTGTACCAAGTATTGTAGCTCTATCTGCATTATTTTTTAAAATATTTAACTGTCCAGGGACTTTTTTACCACCCTGTATATATATATATATATATAAACACATATATAAACATTTGAACGAATGATGTTTTTGACCTCTGGGGACATGAAATGAAATGAAATAGTAAATCGGTCCCGGGCCTAGGTCTTATTATGAGACCTACGATAATAGCTACTTCCCTATAGGGAAATTGGCTAAAATTGATCAAAATATGTTCATAAACAAGCAAACTACAACAGTTTACTTATTCTCAAAGTAACTTATTCTAAAATTGAACTCATTGTTTTAATTTTTACATTTGCAGGTAAAAGTGGATCAGAAAGTTTAAAAGAGATAATTGATTCAGAGGCCGAGGCATCCCTGAGTCAAATTATTTTTTAAAGGATTTTATGCAATTTTACTGATAACTGTATATTAGTAGTGTCCCACTCTTGTTGTTTTACAGGAAGCGTATCCTGCGTTGTTTAGTCAGTTGCAAGGGACAGTGAGACGTATGAAGGCAATGACTGATTGGCTGAGGAGTGAGGGTGTGATGTCCCTCCCAGATGTAAACGCCATGTTGTCCTTGACACGTAACCACAGTACTCTACATGTGTTGCAGTCTACCACTCACTTTGTGGGCCTTCACCACACAAACCTGCACCGTCTGCTTGTACAACTTGAAGGTTAATACAAGTTATGTATTTTACTGTTTCTCAAAGTAATAGCCATTTTGGCGAGGCTAGTGCCGCCACTAGTGAATGTTTCTACACTCTTGTACACAATGGATGCGAGAGATGCTATTAAATAAATTTGCTTTTATGCATAAACTAGCTGTTACCCATTGGCTTCGTCCGATATAATTTTGTGTTTTATTACAACTAACAACCCACTGAAAGCTGAAATTGCCTTTTGCAATAATTTACTGCCTTTTTCTTTACCTTCATTTCATCCCCATATGGGAAGAATGAGCGTACACCTATATTACTGTTTAACTGTTCCTTTTAACAGCAGCTTAAAATGACTCCCTCTGGAACAACCTACATAATGTTTTTCACCAAAATACTATTCCCGCTATATCTCCTTTCATTTAGAATAATTATAGGCCTCCCCTTGAACTGAATTTGCCAGTAGTGCGGTTGGGGTAGCGGATTTTTATCCCCCTGGAATTTTACCCCCTGAGCAAAACTGATGTCACAAACCAGGGGGTAAAATTCCGGCCACAAACTTTTGAGTTGCACAACATCAGTTCGATGGATTATAGGTGGATTTAAACGAATATTTTCACGGTTGTAAATTTAATCAGAACACATAAAATTATAATAACCTAGAGTGCTAGAGATAATAAGGGGGCTGGAATTTTACCCCCTGGCCAGATATAGAAATAAGTGAGAATGACTAATTTTCTTCTTTCTGTATTAATTTAATAGTACACTTTTTAATATTAAGTAGTCTACTTTAATTTATTTGTAACCTTAACTAATCAAACAGGGTTTGAATTTTAATTTTGATTTTCAAGTTTCGGGATTCGATAGTAGTAGGGAAAAGCCGGTTCTGGACCAACCCACAAACCAAAACCAAGACCAAGACCAGCTGTTCATCACCTGTTTATTCTTCCACTCATAGAAGAGAAAAGCCGTTTCTGGACCAGCCCCCAGTAGACTAGTGATTCGCAAATTTTAAGCTGGCTCGTGGTGACAAAGGAGTTAACCCCTTAGACGAGGCGTGCAAGAAACATGACATGTGGTATCGGGATCATAGGCGTGCCGAAGACCGATGGGTGGCATAAGAAATTGCAAGACGCCGCTTGGAATAGGGTCATGTCACCCCTCCCCTCCAGCCAGTAGAATACATATGTTTTTTCTACTCTGGGATCTAATATAGACTCTTATGGACTCAAAATCGGGAGGTAACAAAGACCCACACCACTTTTACTAGTAATATATTTATCTGTGTCCTACTCCCGGAGCCAATATGGGCTCTTATGGGAATACCTCCCCACAAAATCCAGAGGTGTCCTCCAACCCCACACATGGAGTATGTATGTTTGTCCTGTGCTGGGGTTTAATATAGACCTTATGGGGACAAATTCAACCCTTGCCTCATCACTCTGGGGCAAAAATAATTTTTTTTTAAGTTTTTTATTTTCTTACAGTGATCTTCTAGAAATTGTTTACAGTTTTCTAATGATGTTTCTTGAAATGTCATAACTGAATCCAGTTTCAGAGACCACAACTACGTATGCTGTTGTTCCGGCATCGGCTTGCGCGGTTGCGATAGCATTTACAAAATCTAACTCAATCTGGATGTCACTTTTCGAGCGATCTGTGCTCATTGGGTGGAGATGAGTGTCTATCACCAACAGCGGATAGTCATTCTTGAACCCTGAAGGAGATACAAACACATTGGTGTCTCCAAAGTTCACCAGACGATATCTGACCAACTGTTTGAGTGTTTGTACAACAGTCTCCATTTGCCTTCAGTGATGTGTATGTTCTGCATTTCTTGAGGATAACGTTCTCCGTTGATTTTCACAGCGACATTTTTTATGTTACAACTATAACAACGGGAGGGGTTTTTCTTCTGGTCATTCCAACGGCTAGTTTGCAATCCCACAATAACAAATTTCGGGTTGTATACATTTCTATAAACGTTTGTGATATCGAAGTTGAACGAGGCCCCGAAAACACCTTTCTTCTAATACACTGCCACTGGTAATAGTTGTATACCAATTTGCTATGATCACTCAAACGGGTCAACCCATCGATCAATTGAATCTTGCTAGTGGCTGTATACTCGACTAATGGAACTCGAAGAACGAAAGATTTGATTTTGACTTTTCCCTCATCCGGTATCGTGTCTGTCATGGCTGATCCTTTCCAAACGAATAGAGCATCATTATCTTCAGCACGGGTGAATACGACTTTGAATCCACGTTTGTACATAGGATTTACAAACCTTTAACACGAAACGATTACAGATAGGCCTATCAATTCAAGCTTTGTGTTTGCAATGGGGGAGGACACGATTTCATAAAATTTGCTTCTTTAAATTTACTGTATACTATAGTATTACACATCTACCATGGCCATAGTATTCTACCACGTCACCTAAACAATAGAGAAAAATAAATTATTAAAGATTCGTAAAATATCACAAATGATTACAAAACAAACATGCAACATTTACAAAAAAAAAAAGTATTTACAACATGTTATACATATTTATGTGTAGGTAATTGAATACACTACAAGATCATTATGTTGGTTTGAAGTAACAAAATTTGCTACAAAAGTTGTATACCAAATACTGTGAATTTTTTTTCTCACGAAATCGCTAAAATATAAAAACATTATTTTATATACATATGTAAAATTTATGACTTTTTTTGATTCCTTACTTCATTAGCTTTACAAACATGTATATATCATTATTAGTATACACATATATTATATAACTTTTTACAACATAAACTAACACTATACGGTTTTAAATTTTTTCGGTTCTCCGTTTGTCATTATATTTTGCCCCAAATGTTCAGTTCTTTTATCTAAAATTTTTTTTAGCCTGTTTAGAATTTTTGAATTACTAAAACAGCTGATGATTTAAAGATAATCCATTGTATTATATAAATAAACATTATTCCTTTCTTTCCTTCTTGTAAACATGACTTTTTTTTTCTCTCTTAATTTCTCATTAATTTACTCAAACACTCCTCATTATTTAATGGTCCTTCGATCCAAGATATTACTTAAGCGATTTGGAATTACTTTCTTCCACTAAAACTCTTCATACATCAATATTTCCTCATTTTACCCATTGTTTTATGTGCCTTTGAACTCTTACCCAACCGAACTCTTATTTCCATTTTGGAACTCCTCAACCTGTTCATTTACACTTTTTGAATTTTTTACATTTATCTCCTCATTTTTGTACAATGGCATCTCCAAATAGTGATTTTAAAATTGAGACTTATACAAGACTCACATCTTTTATTAAAGTTCGTATGAACAAAATAAAAAACATCATAGATCAACTTGTTGAACAAGAAGAAACATTAACATTTGTGCAACACGAAGCCCTAAAGACTCTTATGCAAGAAGCCCAGAAGAAGAAAGAAGACTTTGATTCTTATTTTCAGCGAATTGTAAGTACATCAAGTGAAGATGATTTGGATAATGAAACTATAAGTCAAGATGAAGATCAAATCAATGACCTATTCATCCACATTACAAGCTATATAAAATCTCTGCTTCCTGAAAGTGGCTCTAGCCCGGATTCGCACAAGGTTGGTTGCAACCCAGCTCAATCTCAGGTACGTTTACCTAAATTTGAACTCTCAAAATTTGATGGAGATCTAACTAATTGGACATCATTCATAAATTTATATGACTCCACTATCCACACCAATGACTCTTTGTCTAGTGTAATAAAATTTCAATACCTTTTGAGTGTATTGGACAAAGAGCCACTAAATTTGATTCGAAGTCTCCAAATTACTGGACCCAATTATACAGTAGCATACAATTTGTTGAGAGAAAGATACCACAATGACAGGCGTCTACAACTTTTACATTTAAATCAACTGCTAGATCTACCTAACATTTCTAGTTCAAAAATCACTGGTGTGAGAGATTTTGTCAATCGTTTCAATGAAAACACTCAAGCTTTATCAGCATTGAACTATGATGTCCAAGACTCTAACTTGTTGTTGTCCGTAGTCTTATTAAGAAAGTTGGATCTTAATCTTCGTCACAAATTAGAATCAGTTTGTAACAAATTTGATACATCAGATCATTCACTGCCTACTTCAAAACAGATAATTACTTTCCTTAATAATGAATGCACTTATTTTGAGGATGCTATGCTGTCCCAAAACATGACCAGTAATGAACTACAAATGACACCCAAATATTCCTTGAACACTAACAAAAGGTTCCCACATCACAGAACTACTACAGTGAATGTAGCCAAACCTTTGTTTAATACTCAACAAGACAATCGACCAACACCAACTACATGTTTTTTTGTAATCAACAAAGTCATAAAATCTACTCGTGTTCAAAATTCCTTGCCATGTCCCCACATGAAAGGTACCAGTTGGTTAAACAATCTCAAAAATGTATTTCATGTCTCGGATCACATGCATCAAAATTTTGTCAATCTAAGCATAGACAAAAAGAATTAAATATAGACCTTCAGCTGTGCTGCGGTTACCATAAGTTCTGGCGCACACCGCTGGGATCGCCACGGTAGTTACAGCGTACGCGCTACGTAAACTACAGCGGTGTGCGCCGGAACTTATGGTAACCATGGTAACCGCAGCACGGCTGACAGTCTATATTTCATTCTTTTTGTCTATGATCTAAGTCATCTTGCAAAAAGTGTGGAAATCACAAGCAGCACACACTGTTGCATTTTGATCATGTCGAAACTGCATGGTTTGACAAAAGTACCAACAAAAGTACCTACAAAAGTAACAAAGTTTCACTTGGTTCTAACCAGTTAAACAATCACATTGATGATCAAGAATCGTCTAAGATGATTCCAAACACATCTGTTTCTCTAGTGTTACCACATCAGTATATGCAAACAAATCTCAAAGAAAATTGTACTACTGTCTTACTTGAGGAACATTGTTGGTAAAAATCAGTTCCTCTTCTGGTGAGCCACATGTGTTTCGAGC